GGTTAGGATGGACACATTCCACAGCACATCTGTTTCATTCATACTGAATTAAGTATTTTTACTGCCCTTTCCTAGATTTCTAAGCACTTTATCCCTTATTTTTCATCATTTTCCTCATGTCCTGACAATACTTTTGTATGACCTTCACGTGTAATCTCCTGAATCTAGACTGTTAGCAACTCAACACCCGGACTTCATTTATAACCATTGTACTGTATAATTTACTGTTTTGTGAATTCATGTGATCTAATGCTCCTTTTTTCCTAAAACTCTTTTCTTCACTTCAAAACAATTATGTTAACTGTGTAGTTCATAATAACCATTAGGCCAATATGAATGAGATGCAAAAATGCTGCTATGTGTCTTTTAAAACTGTGATTTGTGTACAAAATATGTTTTTCTATGTACCTTTGCAAGTGTGAAATAAACATTAACATGCATGGTCCACAACTTGCTTGTAGCAATTGATCCTGTACAGCAGTGTTGGAGAAACATAAGCAAATTACTGCATTAGCAAAAAAAGTTAAAATGTTAACCACACCACACAAAGAAACAAAGGAAGACAACAACTTTCAAAGCCTTCCTGCCCCTTGCACATATACACAAGCCTCATTTTTCATGCTCCCATCGCTACTGTAAATAATGCATGGCTAAGGAAATGGCACAAGATCTACTGGCTGATTTTTGCACTTCCCTGGTTCTCTGATCTCTAAGTATGGCCCTCTGCCCAGCCTCACTCCAGCACTCAGCACTAACAGTGCTCTCTCACTCACAGTGACACAAAGTGTTTAAGTACACACAAATCTAGCCACCAGCTTAAATGGACTGAAGTGCCGTCATTAGTCATCTAGGATCACAATCGGAAATGGTTTTATTTACTTAGAAGAAACAAAGATACAGCCATAGAGCATTTTGTCAGCTGAACACCAAGGGCCTAAATTATATATTTGATGTGAGATGTCAAAGAATGTAATGAATTTTAAAACATCTATGGATGTCGATTTTTTCCGTTTTAAATTTTAATGTAATTCGGTACTGGCTTTTCAGAATATCATCACCAATGTGGTCTATATATATTCCTGTTCGGGAAACCCTGACATGGATATTTCTGATTTAAAATGAAAAAAGTAGACTTCAACAAAGCTCACTGGCGGCTAACGAGATGAAACGGGTATTAAAATAAGCGACTTTATTTTAATTCACTTTAATTCAGTTCTCGTTCCTTTGAAGAACCAGGGTTCACATAGAAAAAAAGAGGTAGCCTAATTTTAAAAGTGATTTCTAGACCTGGAAGAGTCATGTAAATTAACATTTCCAGGGGCATTTTTATAACTAATATATTTTTTATGACTATGCATGCCACATTGTAAAATAGTTCATCAGGAAGAAATTGTGTAGAAAATATCTTTTAATCCTTTTCCAGTACATCACAAAAACATGGAGAAGTCCACTGAATATTGTTAACGATTTAATGGCAATGCAACAGCCTCAACTATCTAGTTTGGCTTTGCATACACAGGTTAAATTTCCATATTCCTCTCCACTGGTTTTAAATGTGGTTAATAAGATTTACACAAGAAGGGCATGTTTCTGGATCAACATCCTTTGTTGGTTCAGTAATGTACCTATAAATCAATGTCCTCTTAGTTTAGGAGTAGGGTTAGGGCATAGGACACCATTCATGAGATGGTTTAACTCTAAGGGTTAGTGTAAGGGCTACACTTGGTTTAAAATGTGTCGATCCAGGATTACATCCAACTTTTGATAAATTGTGTTGCACTTTCAAGCGAATGAATGAGTCTCAAGATCAAACTCTTTGCAAAATCAAAAACGTGAAGAGTAGCATTCGAGTATTTACTGAACTTGCAGTATGATGTAGGCCAGGGGTCTCCAATCCTGCTTGTGGAGGTTCATTATTCTGCAGAGTTCAGCTCCAAACCTAATCAAAGGCTGCATTTACACTGCAGATCTTGATGCCCAAATCCGATTTTCTGACTAGATCCGATTTTTTTGACGACCCACCCACATCATCTTTTAAAAGTGACCCGTATCCGATTTTTGCATGTACACTATACACTGCTGAAACTACCAAATGTAGACATTCTGACCAGAAAAGGGAGTAAAACAGCATGAAATGCAATGGATGCAGATGCGAATAAAATTACCCAGTTTTTTTTCTTCCCACAATATTTAGTGAAATCTGAAAAAAGATGAGAGCACATATGCCCATCTCGTGAAATGTTTTCAAACTCGGATTTATTTCTATAACAACCCTGCATGTATGCCCGCACCGTCTCTTCGCCCCAAACAAACCTTCGCAATGCTCAACTGTGCATCTCCGTCCTCCATCGCACCTATAAGTCATGTGATCTCAGTAGGTGGTGTCTTTGAGTTGACATCACTTTTATAATGACGTACGACTCGCATCTACTGGGAAATTTCCGATTTGTCTGTTTACATGGCACACGCAAATGCACATATCCGATTCGTTACCACATATGAGTGAGGCCTGAATCCGATCTGAGAAAATCGGAATCCATATCTTTTTTCCTGCTTACACGTTCGGATTTGGGTCACTTGACCCCCCAAAAAAACCTGATTTGGGTAACTTGAACCATGCAGTGTAAATGGGGGCCAAAATCACCTGAACCAGATAATCATGTCAAGAATTAGATCCCTAGTTCAGTAGTCAGGGCACTGATCAGGGAGTCGGACATTTTAAGAGCTGCATCAATCACAAAATCCTTCCAGTGCACTGAAACCTTTGTTCTTTTTTCCCTAAAAAGTCCTACAATGCAGCGTGGAAACCAGGGAACATTGATGCTCACCGGGTTCTCTTAACAGACATTCCGAAGTGCGAAACTTGTGAAACAAATGTTGGACATATATGTAACAAGTATTTATAATAATGTACTTTAAAAAACATTAAAATATGTCAGAAAGATATCAGTTCTGCTGTTGTTCAGAAATACTAGTGATGTTGTATAACAAGGACCCTGGAAATAGCACCATCAGTGTCCCAATGTGCAGTGAGCAAGGGTCCTTCCTAATGACCAACTTCGTGTACACAATATGCTGATTCACAACCTCAGAAACTATAGAGAGCTGATTGAGACACACCCAAGATACTTCCAGGCAAGTGTGTTTGGGCAGGTTGGACTAAACTCTGCAAGACATTGGCCCTCCAGGAGCAGGATTAGACACCCCTGATGTAAGCTGATTTTCACTACAGTCACTCAGGAGTAACTTTAGGTTACGTGTCTCGCTCAAGGGCACGATGGTGACAGAGCAAGATTGAGATCTCTGCAAGTCTCCAGTTTCAGACTCACACTGACTACTCAGCATCTGTAACTTCTTGGAAAGCAGCCCAGGAAACCAAGTATTATATGACCCCCCTCTTCCTATTCACACTCAACTCATGAATTACTACACGGCTGCAGATATTGATAAAAAAATCAAGCAGAGAGGGCTTCATTTTATAGCTTAAGTTCAGAGAACAGTCTACTTTAATCTTAAAAGAGCCAAGACTAAAATATTCAAGTGCTGCCATACCTCAAAAATCATGAATAGTTGAGTGGGTAGCGTGTGTCATGTCTCCGTCTCACCTCAGATCAGAAGTCCCATGATTATAAGATCACTAGGAAAGAACAAAATAAGGCAACATGTATAGCAAAATAAAACAATGTGGAGATGACAAAGATTTATTCATTTATTCTCTGGACTGGTGTAAAGAGAACATGTTTTAGTCAGCAGAGGAGGTTTGGAGGGTGATGACAGCTTCCTGTGGAGTCCTGTGGGTGGCCAACCTTCCAAACGACTGCTGCAGTACCTCTACTACAGACACATTTAGGCAGAGAACACAACAACGTACCTCATTTGTGACTTTAAAATATCTTCCTCTAAAATAAAAAGAAACTATCAGAAAATATGGTGAGAATCTCATACTGTGATGTTTTGTGATCATCCTTTGATCAACGAGGCCCATTTCATCTGTAAAAGACCCTCAGTCCCTCAACATTTGTACTGCATTTCAGGATACTTGGTCAATGTATGGACTGGAACAGTAAGAGACCTTTTGATAATGGACCCACAGAGAATATAGGAAAAAGGAGGAAAGATTTCTTAGTTTCAAAGAGCTCATATTAGTTTATTGTTTTGGGCAGCCAATGTCTCCTTTGAGTGATTGTATTGAGTTTGTATAAGCACTCTCTCTATGCGCCTATGGAAAAACCTCAGGCAAACAGATTCAATCGGTCTAACAAGAACTATAGCCAGTCTGACTGCTCCAAATGTGGCAGACACATCAAAAAATGATCAGTACAGAAGAGATGCTTAGCAGAAAAAGCTCACGTATAGATGGGACATCATTTGCCAACATCAGAGGGAAAGAGAAACAGGTGTGTGATAAGGCTCACAATACTTTTTTTCTACAACCAAGCTGCATAGTGTGCTGGTCTTACCTCTACATGCAATCACAGTGCTATTTTTTTTTCCAGGGATCGATGCTTTATAGCTTGTACATTCATCACATTAAAGTTCTGGTCTGATTCTGTCTCTCACGCTCCAGTTCCATTGCAGGCTTGTTGGTTTATCCAGGTATTCCTAACTGGAACCTGATCTAAACTTTGAAACACACCAGTAAAGTCATAAAGAATTAGCAGCACCTTGAAAGAGAATGGCTAGACATCACATGAGCTGCAATGGAACCATTTTATTGTTGGGCTCTTATTTTCCAACACTCCGTGCAGAGCAATATGTCATTGGTTAGAGAGTTTAGAAATATCTAAAAAATAGAAGCTTTAGAGTACGGACCTCTAATGTTTCACACACATATTTAATATTCTGTATATGAATAATTTATTAATTCACAAAGTACACAGCATGATGAGAAACCCTCTTACTAAAAGGATCATCAAATTAAAACCCTCTTCCGATTAATAATATACAGGAACACCACAACTCCATGTTGATGCTTCACAGAATTGCTCTTTTCTCAAAGCCAATGTGCTATTATATGCTCTTTGAAATCAATTCCTGTTAGTAATTTGGCCTCCAGACCCAGTTCACATCTGAACAGCGCATTGTTTGTAGTACAGAAACAAAAAAAAAGGCTCTTAGAGCTAAAACCCTTCTGATGCTAATTACAAATAATGTCCATGTTGGCCACAATCAATCTTGTTTCCAGACTAGGCCATGCGGGCTTCAGCTTTGTGGGCCCCAATAGTCCACCTCTCATTGAGCCTTTCCTCAAGGCTTTGCCACCTCTTTGCAGAACACCCCCCTAAAAGTAGTCGGTTAGCTCCCCTATTTGTCAGTGAAATGCATAAAGCAGCAGAAGGATGGTGCAGATGCCAATGACTCCACCCAGAATTAATGAGTCCCGCCTCTTCCTCAAGTTGATCCGCTGTATTAGGTTATTGATTGCAGGGAAACGATCTAAAGTAGGGGTAGGTTAAGAAAATGCAGGGATACAGTAGATTGCCTTTCTTAAAAAAAACTGACAGCAAGTATTTTTAAGTTGCAATTTTTCAAATTTTTGTAAGATAACATATGGGCTTGTCCTATATAAATGTGTCCTATATAGGCAGAGGTGAGCTCTTCAAATTAAATTTTGTAGAAATCTACACATTTATATGAAACCAACAGTATAGGTCCCTCATACTAAGGATGAATAGATAACGCAATTCTGATTAGCGATACCATTAAGACGATAATTAAAAAATAAAAGGTCAATATTAAAATTATGTCCTATTTTGTCTGAAATAAAACACTAACCAAAATCAAACTACTAAAATCAACACACAAAAAGCTGGCTTGTGAAAAAAAAAATGTGTTTTCATAAACACTTCATGACAAATTTATTAAAACATATATAATTTAGTAAATAAGCTAATCTCTAGTGTTTTTTATGGCAAACTAACCAGGAACATTGTATAAACTTTCCTGAGATAAATGCAACATTAATGACATTGCATTATTGACGTCTTTCTGCGATTGAAACACTGATTGAGAGATTAAATAAAATGTGATACATTTTGGTAAGTTGTACTATATTTTTAAATGCATCTTTTAATGTCCATGGATGTTTTTTTCATGCTATAATTATTAAAGTGTAAGAAAAGACTTGCACTCCACACCGCTCCGAAGCACTACAGCCATCTGTCACGTCACATTTAAAAGAGTGAAAACGCAAATCATTGTTTGAATTTCATGATAAAATGGACAAAATTTAAAAGCTGAGACTTTTTTCTTGTCACATGCTCTAAATTCAACACAAAATACATCATCTTCACACACTACGAGTTGCAGTCTGACACATTTTTCCACCCCCTTTTGATTGACTGGATATAATGGGCCCTGATCATTGACTGGTTTTAAATATTTAGCCGATCATGAAAATAACAGTGGCTGATACATTGTTGTGCATCTCTAATACATGCACGCACACATCCATATATATATATATATATATATATATATATTTGTTTTTTTTTGGTGGATAAATCATGCAACCCAAATGCATACATGCACACAAGCACTGTTTTTTGAAATCAAGGATACTGGCCAGGGTGTTGACACGGCTCTGTATAGACTTTAACCACCCTCTCTGGGAGGTCATGTTCTCCTTGGTTGCCATGGCAATGCTGTGGACAAAAATAAAAATTAAAAAGAGTGAGTTTTATTAGCTCATCACAGCACATACGTAATGTAAGTGGTCAAAAATGGCTCTGATCAAATTAATAACTAATCATTTTTACAATGGAAATGAGTCAACAATGAACTTGTCGCTGGACGACTATTTTCTTCAAGAGCTGCTGTACAGCCAAAACAAACTTTGTTGCATTATTTTCCTGTTATCACTGTAAAGCTGCTTTGAAATCATCTATATTGTAAAAAGCGCTACATAAATAAAGGTGACTTCACTTGATCAGTGAGTCAAGGGCGCCGCAGCTGTTAGGACTGCAGACACAGGAGAAAGTCCCTAAAAGACAGCAAACATCTCTTTCATTAGGTTTAATTTCAGACAGGATGGCAGGAGCTGCATTAATCTAAAGCTCCAGAGACATTAGCCACACAGAGCTAGAAACCAAAAGTATGCAGAAAAGTGACCAACCATTACGTACATATCCATTTCCCTTGACACTGCAAAAAGTGAACACCTCATATTCTGGAAAGATCAGAGGTTTTCCTGCAACAGCCATCATTTGTCCTAGCTTAAAGGCATAGTTCATCTAAAAATTCTGCCATCATTTATTCACATTTGTGTTATTCCAAAAGATTACTTTTTTTAAATGAATGTCATGTCTTTTTCCAGTTAAAGAAAAAGTGTGGAATCATCTTAATTTCCATTTCTAATACAAATATAGAGACAAGTATAACACTTTCCCCAGTCAGCTGTGTCTAAAATTTGGGCACAGCTGCCTATTTACTGAAATATTGGGCTTGAAGTCAAGAAGTTTGAGAACCACTCATCTAATTCTCATTCAACTATTCACTGTTGCATGCTATAATAAGACTCTTGGGCAGTTCCAGTGCCACTACTTTGTTTCCTTCAGAGTCTTACTTTCTTGTTCCTAGTGGGGAAGATTACATTGCTATATGTGACAATACAGATAACTCCGCCTCCAGCTCAGCAGATTTGTGAGTGCAAACTAAAGTCTGCCATCCATTAAACTCCTGTCTGCTCTACTCTGCAGAACAAAAACCATAAGATATAGTCCACCACAAGCGCTCAAGCAGACCCTACACCTTGATCATAATGAACAAGAGATCTCATCTATCATACCGACATAAAACAGGTGTCATCTAGAATGTATTTGTATTTGTCATTGGGTACATTTAACAAGACCCCGAAGGCCACAAGGTCTCTGGTGTTTTGTATTCCCACGTGCCCTCAGTCACGAACAAGCAGTTATTTTGTTATTGACAGAGTTTTGCAGTGACACCTAGACAGGCCCTTTACCATCTTTCAGTTCTGTTCTCAACCTACATTCCTGAGTATCTGCACACCATGAGATGATGAACACATGAGCTTAACCCATCTCCTAATCTTCATATCTGTATGTGCGCGTGTGTATTCTAAATTGTGCATTTGTTTAAATGGGTTACATGCAAGGGTGTATCTCATACAATCATATATTGGGATAGTTTAATTCTGTCTTGTTTTAAATCATTAAAAGAGAAACACGAGTGCCCACACACTTCAGAGATCAGAGCAATGATGAAACATTAAACAATGAGCTCTCATCTTGGTGGCTTCAGGCTGTGGGTGCTACATAGGGAAGATAATGATTACAAGCAGCTGATATAGCATAATTTTTTGCTTGAACAAGACAGGGGTCGGGATAAAAAGAGCTGCATGGACCAAGAGCCGACTTAATTAAGCACTACTGACGGCTGCCAGCTGTGGGGGTTTCCAAAAATGCGCAGTCAAAGACCCCGTTTACACCTGGTATTAAAATGCGATCTGTATCCAGATAAGTTATCCGGATAATAAGTACTGATTCCATTTACACCTGGCCACATAAATGTGTTTTTGCAAAACGGATATAAATCCGATCTTCACCTCCTGCGTTATATGCAGATTTATTGGATTGCACGCCACCAAAAGCAACAGATCTGAGCGGCATTTTATTGATCATCAGCTAATTTCCAAATCAGAGACATCAATAAGAGAGAGTGGCAACAGGCCTGGTAAGATAATTTCGTTTCTTTACTTGAAGATGTGTTAACTGCGTCTGTGACTTACTTTCACTTTTATTTGCGATGTTTGCACGTTGAATAGACGCTCAGCTGCTCATCTGCGGTGATGCGTGTCACGTGTCGCATCTGACTAGGCTATAACATGACATATAGCCTATATAACACGCTCTCACTCGTTTATTTTTTAGCATTTTTGGGAGGAGTAAAATATACATATGTGGTTTCAACAACCAGATTGCGTTTACACCTAGTAAAGATCCGGACACAATGCGAGCCAGACTACCTCCAGATGTGGTCAGGCAGATCCGATCACGATCCGATCACAACGCGTTTACACCTTGCATTAACATGCGTTTTTTATTATCCGGATAACTTATCTGGATACAGATCGCATTTTAATACCAGGTGTAAACGGGGTCAAAGTGTAGGCTACTCTCATGTCCAGCACAGATCTGCAGTGAGGGAAAAACGGTAGTGCCCAACAGCACAGTGTTCACAACTAACGCACCTCAAGAACAAAGCACAGTTGGGAGAATTTCCCTTCAGTTAGTTTCCCTTAAAAGGATAGTAAACCTAAAAACGATTCTGTCATCAATTACCCACTCTCATATTGTTCCAAACCTATATGACTGGCTTTCTTCTGCAGGACACAAAAAAAAAAAAAAAAAAAAAAAATATATATATATATATATATATATATATATATATACACACAAAAATATATATTTATTTATATAAATAAATATATATATTTTTTTGTGTCCTGCAGAAGAAAGCCAGTCATATAGGTTTGGAACAATATGAGAGTGGGTAATTGATGACAGAATCGTCACAACAAAATATATATTTTTTTGTCCAAATGGAAGTCAATGGGGTCCAGTGTTGTTTTAGCCCAGAGTTGTTTTTATTTAACCCGCTGGGGTCGCCATCACGCCGATCACAGACTCAAATAACTCTGTCTATTTTTGTGATACAGGCAAGTGTTATACATCATTCAAAACTGTTAAATGTCTACTTTTATTCGAGTACAGTAATAATAAAAACAAAATGTTGTTTTTTGTAAAATAATGAAAACAAACATGATGCGCGTTCTCCCTTCTCTCAATTTGAAGTTCATTCTGAAACGCGACATAAAATGATCTTTAACTCAGCAAATACTTGCCAAACACACGTGAGAGTTATGTCTTGAAAACTATTAAAATGGTTTTGATAACTGAAATAAAGCTGAAACAAAATAAAATAGAAATAGTACATGAAAATCTAAACCTAAATGAAAAAAATGAGAAATGTTGCCTGAGAGACTAACTAAAATAAAAGAGTCTGTTCTGATCCCCTTTCAGTTCTGACATAGTGGTATCAACTGCTAAAGCAAATGGGTCAGTAGTTTGTATCCCTTCATCGAATGAGATCTTCCTCGAATGAATGACCCTTGGCAGGCTATTCTTTCAGAAGAGACCACATATTTTAGTAAAACAAATAAAAATGGAAACTGAAGTGTCTGAATTGTTTTTTATAAAGTTAGACTTACCTTATCGTGTCATCAATAAGTCGATCTGAGCTGCAAGGAGACAAAAAGAAAGAGGGAAAAAAAGACATTTAGACAATGATGATTAGGTGAATTACTGGAGCCCTCGTTCATCTTCGAGAGTCAGGGTGAAAGAATCAATCAATGGCAAACATGCAGTGAATGCTGATCAGTACTTCACATGAACACCAGAAGAATTTTCTTTTGCAAATATGACCATAAAGGATTTAACAAGCATTACAATAAAAACAACTACAATCAGTATTGTCAATTGTCTACATACAAACGCTACAAGGCTAAAAATATGAGTATTTTAAAGGCCACATCCATATGTCTTTGAACATTTATTTTCGAAACCATGGCCATGTATAGAATTTTACGAATTTGTTATTATGGGCATAGTTAAAATAACTAAACCAGTTAATAAATCACCACATACTTTTTCCATGTAATACATACAGCACATACCACACAAGCTACAATTCTGCATTAGAAATTCACACCATAGCACCAAAATAAGCAAATAAAATCCCATTCAAGATAGTGATTCCAAATGGTGAAACAGATTTATACATTGTCAATGCAGTTACTGCTCGTGCTCGGAAAAGACAAGTATGTCGTGTGTGTGAATTAAATTATCTTTCAGGAACGATTCTTCAATCTTGCATTACTATCTATACTGGAATGTCTCATACCCCCACCACAGCCATTTTTCTCCCAGAAAAGGAGCTACAGGCCTGCAGGGCGGGAATGAAATTCTATGCTTGCTCAAAATCACATCCTCCGTCAATTTAGATGACAAAGTCTGAGGGCCAGTGAGACCTCAGGGGAAAGAAAGTCCTCTATTCCCAGACAAATGGTTTTCGGTGTGACAGAGAGCTCCAATTTTGATTACACGAGCAAAAATGAGATTGCAAATTCTTGCTTTGAAGCCTGTGAACTTTCTCTCTCTCTCACTCTCTCTCTCTCTCTCCCTCTCCCTCTCTCTCTCTCTCTCTCTCTCTCTCTCTCTCTCTGTATGGTTTGAGAAGTCTGGCATAAACAAACAGCAGCTAGGAGCATAGGGTCTAATGGCCCATATGCTGTTTAGTCCCACTACTGGAAAACAGAGCTCTGTCTTCACAGACACGTGGAATCTTGGAATCTTGTCAAATGCTTTGAAGAAAGGAAAGGTGCAGCAAAACTGATGAAGCTCCATTCTGGCAAACGGCTGTCGACTTAAGAGCTTATGAATTTGCCTTTGAACAAAAAGCCAAACCTGCATCGGCAAAGATAAAGTATGTGAGTTCCCGGCAAGACTAATCAGTATGAATTGTCCCAGTGGGTGCTAATGATGCTGATTTTGCAGAGTTTAGATTGCAATTAGCAGGGCAAATCTTAAGCATCCTGTGGGATTTGACCAACCAGGTTCCTTTATTCATGATTTGCATTTCATCCTGATAAATAATTAATAAGGCCTCCTTAAGACTCATTAATCTTCTTTAAGACATATATCCACTTGGTTGCCTAAAAAAGAAAATTATATTTACAAGAAATAAATCAGTTGAAACTGAAGTTTAAAGTTAGTGAAAGGACAATGCAGAGTCTGAAATTCTCAACAAAAATTTCTAACAAATGTTGTCTTCTCTCCCCATTCAGCCTCATCTATTCTGAACTCAACAGCAGGGCTATTAGTTCAATTACATTAGCTAGTATCACACATGGCTGCCAGTCTGAAAATTACAGTGATACAATTTAGTTCTGTAAAGCTTTCAGCAAAGCACAACTAGACCTGGTTTGCTAAAACACACGCATCTGGACTTTGGGAAGTATTTTATTATGGACATGAAATTCCAATTGTCTAAAAGCTGAAAGTTTAGAAGATGTATGCTATGCTACACTACTACCATTCAAAAGTTAAACAAAACAATAAAATCGCCCTGTGGCAAGGCAGCATGGGGAAACCCATTTTTACTCATTCCCGTAGATTTTGTGCTCACAGCCTCACCCCCAAAAATCACACACATAAAGTCATCTTGAACTTGTTTTCGATAAAAGTAAAGTGACAGCAGCCTAATATACATGCTGCCAAATTATAAGATATTAAAAATATCTATATGGCAGTTTTTCCTCTTTAAAGTGTGTATTGGATTTGTGCATTAGGCCTAGTGACATCAGCCCAATAAACCTGCTGCCGTCTGTGTCAATGTTAATCAAACAACAAAATAAAAATAAAATCACCCACTGATCGTGATGGAATAACTTTTGTAACTTTAATAAGGATTAATCTATATTTTATTTAAAGCAGCACTATGCAGTTTTTTTTTTTTACCTTAACTGAATAGCTTCGGAGTTATTGCAATGGTTATATGACTATTTATCGGGTTGAATGTTGGGCGTCTTTATTAACACTTTATTTTTACATATTTTTTAAGTCTGCATGACTTTAAGTCTATTTTTCGGAGTACTTTAAGTCTATTTTTCTGCTATGTGAAAAGAAAAAAACAGCAAAACACGGTGGCGCATGAGCTGACCTCTAGGGGTTAATAATGTTTGAAATTTATATTAGTTAGGCTATTTTTGTTAAAACCGGCGAAATTGGGTTGTGTAAGTGTTCTAAAAGGGCTGCTGATTCTGTGTTTTGCAAAAAACAGAATAAATATTTTTGAAATCGAAACTGGGAATCGATAAGCAGATTGTCCTGGAACAATGCAGACATTTAACCTAAAATTAAAAGCAACTGTAAATTAATCTTTTAATCTATTCAACATTAATATATGCAAACACATGCAGCACACCACTTGTGAACTGACACAAGGCCTTTCAGGATAAGCCATTTTTCTGAGCTGCTAAATGGGTTCAGGCATCATATTGATGTATTTAAATTAGTAAATTAGGAAATGTGCATAAATAACACAGCCTAAGCTTTAACACCAACTACAGTTAGGACCTACAATTCATGATAAAAAAGGAACCAATAAAGAAATAATATAACAAATAATATTAACAAATAAGGAAAAACATCAAATATAAAAATTACAGAATATTTGCATATCACAATAATTGTAAAAGCTTTTTTATTTTGGCCATTAACATGTCAACACAAAATTCATGAGGCTGCCTTGTCTAGCATATATGTGAATGTGAAAAAAGTCTATATTTAAACTTGTCTATAAAGCAAAAATGTTGTTAGAGTTAATAAGGACTTTTCGTAAACTGTAATTTTCTTGAATTAATGGGTTAAAAATTGATTTATGATCCATTGTGTCATCACTATTCAAAAAGAATTAAAATATAAATAAATAGTCAAGGAATTAAACACATTTATTAAAAAAATAGTAGTAAAATATATGTTAAAAAAAAATGTAAATTCTGTCTTCATTTACACTCAAGTTGTTCCAAACCCATGAACTATCCATTTAAGTTCAAACTGATTCCCTGATAGACTGAATGCATGTTATTAATCTCCAACTCTAAAATATGCTTTTTACTCATTTATATACAGAGGTTAGAAGATGTCTATCAAAAAACATAGGAGCCGTGGATAGCTGACAGAGTTCATGGAATGACTGTGCTGGTTTTAACCTTCTGTCGACGGGCTTGTGCTATAAAATGCGCATTGCTGCATCTTGGGGAGGGGTGTCAAGGTGCAATTCTCACTGTGTTTTTATAGGCCGGGACAAGCTCAAGCTGAAGGATTTACAGTAGTTCTTTATTGTCTCAGAAGCAGATAGGAAAGATGTCAGGGTCTGGTGCAATGTACGAGACAGAAAAGCTCCACTGGTAGAAAAAACTATCCCAAAGGCCCTGTTTAACACCTGGCATAAAGATGCGTCTTGGTCGATCGGATCACAAGTAGATGAGGGAGACACACTCATTTACACCTGGTGTTTTAACCCATCTGTTGCTCAATTCCAACCACTTCTGTCCTCATTTCTTAGAGGGGAGGGTCTATCGGAAGGTAAATGTATGGGCTTTTTCAGATCTTTGGATCTAATGGACAAAGATAAGCTTGTGCAATTTGCATATGTATGTGTACGGAGACGACGGAAAATCATGTGGAGAGACCCAATTCAGAGATGTATTTAACTTCATCCAATTGTGATCAATCAACACACGTTTTAATTAGCCTAGTGTCGTCATACTCGGATTCTAGTCAGAATGTAAGTCTGATACTGCTCCATTGGGCTGTGATTATGGGGCGTATTTCAACCGAACCAGGAAAGAAAATGCCTCTGCACTCAATTGGATATACCTACAACTAATCAGAGCAATGGAGTAAGTGACGTATGTTGAATCCTGTAGGAAGGAAGGCAAAATCATCTTGCTGATCGACAAATGCCTTGATCGCGGTTCTCCGTTCCTGTTCTCCAACAGCAGCCACCTTTGATGTAAACTAATTCAATACATCTCAAAGACCTCTTTGGTGACATGGATGATTACGTTAATTTTGATCAGCTGTCCATCATCGTATAAAGCCCACCCTGACAATATGATTGGTCCGAACAGCTCTGGTTCGAGCATAATTGCTCCACAACTGATCAAGTCCAGACCGAACTTGCCAACCTCAAATGTTGTAGGCGGGGCAAAGTCCGACTGGCATCCAGGCTACATCTTAATACCACAGGGCCTAAATCTGTTGCAGTCATTACTAGATTCATTGGCATAAAGCTAATTTAAAATCATTCAATGCCCTTTTACCTCTCCCAGTCTATTGTCACTTTCAGCCTCAATGTTTTCTGCTAAACTTTTAACTTTTAATAGCAGAGAACAATAATTTTGGTTCTCTTTAATCTGCATCTGGCACCCATACACTGAAACAATCTCGTAATGCACCCTGTTCCAGCTACCACACTAGTCAAAAGTTTGGACACAGTGACTCATTTTTTATTAGTAGCAAGGAATCATTAATATTGATCAGATTTTTTTCTTTTTAATCTCGAACCACTCCAAAAATGTTGCCATATAAATGCACTGTGCTGTGGACATGAAAAACACCATCATGTTTTCTTTTGGATAGTTTTGCAGTTTTTAAATGGCACACATCACTCACA